CTGATGTTACTGTGTTAGCCTCTGTATTGATGTTACTGGATTAGCCTCTGTGCTGATGTTACTGTGTTAGCCTTTAGATTAGCTTGCTGAGCAGCGGCTCTCCCATGTTCTTTGGCACAATGGGTGTGTGCTCGTTAACAACTTAACTTCCAGACTTCACTGTCGGTCCATTTTTCCAAGTATTTTCTTTTACGAGCTGTTGTCTATGTTTTTTGTTATCTGTTCTTTTCACGGCTAAAAAATGGCGGATGGTTGTGCTGCATGCAATTACTGTACACTTCGGTCACTCACGGCTCCTCTTTTGCTGGGAGAGTATCTACTCTGAAATAGGAACTACAAACGTTTCTCAAAACTATGATTGATCCTAGTTCTTGCGCTGTTGATACATAAAATGGGGGTTCTTAGAGCCAGAGGGTCCATCTTCAGTACCAACATAAGACCCAGCAGGGCCCTCTCTGCCCACACAGTGTATCAAGCGCACACTTAAGTAAAGCGTATCATTACGGGTACATCTTTTCCACAGAAGGTCATTTGCTCTGTTGCCCCACAGCGGTGCACTTATGTAGCAGTAAATAGCCTTAGCACTAGACAGGCGCCAAAGTCGGGCTGCCATGCGAGGAGTTAATGAGGTCTAAAGCAGTGGTAGCTGGGCCACGGTGAGCCCTGCGAACACACTCCTGGACACAACACATCCAAGTGGACAGCAGCCGCTCAAGTGGCTAATTGGGAGCATGGTAATCAGGGAACACAGCAAACATTGCACCTACTGTGTATCATCGACCTTGACTCCAATGCCAACACACACAAACACAAACAGATATACATGCTCAGAGGGGGAGAGAAAAACAAAGAGAGAGAGGGGGAGAGGAAAAGCAGACACACTGCATGGAGCCGTGAGGCATCACATTAGCACACACTGGCCTCCATTTTATCTCCTGTGGTCTTTGTCAGTGTTGCCTTTTTACCAGTTGGGAGCCAGCGGAGACTGGGGGAAATGTGTGTGATGGGTTGGATTTAGAAATACCCCGAGACTCCATCCTTTTGTCTAGAAAGATTAAAAACTGAATGCGCTGTCGTACCTGCTAATGAAGCGCCAGAAACAACAACCTTCCCTGTCATTGTTCATTATCCCCATTGAGGACAGGGCCTTTCTATTGTTTGTCTCACTGCCCTTCAAATTTATCTTGAAACCCAACATGCACATGAACACATCAAAGTGTGAAAAGCCCCTTTGGGTCACAGTTTACACACATGAAACATGAACTGTTACGCTGCCCCTATGCTGACATCTATATTGATTAAGTCGACATTTGTCCATAATGCTGCAGAAGAAGAACCTCTAGAGCTGAAAATAACTGAGAAGTTGGCTTGAACGGGAGCTGTTTTTTTCTGAGTGGGTCCCCGTCCTGTTTATCTCTGCACAGGGACGCACATGAAGCACTTCACATTGCTGCCTATGGTTTCACACTATTCCACTGATCAACAGGTGGCAGTAACTGGCCAAGAAACAGTAAAGTGCTAACAGGGAAGACAGAAGAAGACTGCCAGCTAGTAAACACACACAACAATTTATTTTGTTTTTAATGAGGAGGGAAATTATTTCAAATCATTTGTTAGACCACAAGAGGCATTGTATGTGTTGTTACAGAGTTGGCCTGAATACTCACAAACCAATCACCTGATTTACTGTGCTGTACATGTTCACTAGCAGGGCTTCTATAGCAAGACTGTCAGGATACTGTTCTTACTCAGCATTGCCTGCTATGTGCTTGGGTTTGCTTTGTCACTGCCTTGTCTTATTTCCTCCTCCCCACGCCCTCCCTCAGATAACCTGTGCAATGGGAAGTTCCACAGACACCTGCAGGACCTGTACGCCCCCCTGGTGGTGCGATATGTGGACCTGATGGAGTCCTCCATTGCTCAGTCCATTCACAGAGGCTTCGAAAGGGAATCCTGGGAACCTGTCAAGTAAGGATGCCTTTATTTACTTGACTTTTATCATCTTCACCTGTGTCGTGGAGATATTGTGTTGGATTACCCTTTTTCACTTTGCACATCTGTACACAGATTTAGCTTTGGTTTTGACTCCTTGAAACTGTGACCAGGTTCCCATTATAATAATATGGCCATTTTTTCACAAGGTGTTTAACAAAATCAAGGAGTTCATCTTCTAATGTGTGACTTCTTCCGTTTGTTGCATTTTATAACTCATTTGCATGAACAATCTCTGTTTTCTGTCTTTTGTTGTTCCGTTTCTCTCCACAGGAGTAGAACAAGCACTCTGCCCAATGTCAACCGCCAAATGCCCAAAGTACCAAATCTAACAGTGCCAAGTGTTAACCTCCCACAAATGCCCAGCTTCTCTGCACCCAACTGGATGACAGCTAATTGTGACTCAGAGTGTGTACCCGCCTTGTGCAGCCTGAGACATGCACACGTGTCCTTGGCATGAACGTGGCATCTGGCATTTGACCCCAAACATATCCAAAACAGTTTTCTGTCTTTATACAGTTGTATACGGTTCGTACTCTAAATCAGTTCAAAAGTGCAGCATCTGTAATTTATCGCAATTTATACACGTGATACATTTGTAATAATTTGAATTCATGAATCCTGAAACGTAACTAATTAAATGTAGAGCTGTAAGTATAATGTAGCCCTTTCCAAAAAAATACTTAAGACAAAAAGAAGAGGCATAGAAGCATAACTAGAAAGTAGTACAAGTATTACAGCAGGAAAACTTTAATAAAAATGAGCATTTAAGATGTTTATATTCTGTACTTTCTGAGATTTGAGGAGGATTGTTCCAAAGTTTAGTAGCTACATTGCCGAAAGTCATTTTAGCAGCTTTATAAATAAATACATGTTTAGTGGTATAAGCAATTTCACATTATTTATTAGTTTGAACAGCCTCTGATTTTAGTGAGGGTTTCTATTAATATGTATGTGATCTTGTGAGTGTTATCATTAAGAGCACACTGCATATATCTGCCAACTTGACACATCATCTATAGCACTTTGGAAACCTAAGCAAAACGCAGCAACTACGGGGATCAGAGGTGTAAAGCTGCAGCATCCTGCAGAGTGAGACGCTCTCACCGCAGCACATCCGTCCCTATTCCCTCATCACAGAATACACGGAGCAGGCCTGATGTTCTCATTGTTAAAGAGAAATGATGACAGCTGCATTTCAGCCTTCACTTTATATTTAGTAACTTATTCACTTCCCAAACAAAAGATAGCAGTAGAGAGAATAGACTTGTCTCATTTACGCTTTCCAAAATCAGGAGAGCTCAAAGAAAAAGCCCAAACTGGCTATCCAAGTTGAGGAGTGCATACGTATAAATACTGAAGTGCCTGCATAGCTGTGGCAGTCTGTGGCCAATGTTGGGGTTTCATACAGGCTCAAGGCCACGTTCATGCCGACGCCCGACATGGTGCATGTGAATGGATGCAGAAGGCAGTGACTTGGAAAAGGAATCCCAACATATTCACTCCCGCAGATGTCTTTCTCTCTGGACTGGAAAGATGCAAAAGCATAACAAGGAAACCAACCCAGTATGTTTAGTGTAGAAACATGTTCTAACAACATCAATAAGACAACTGGGGTTAGTGGGATTGTCATAATTTTTGAATATTTTTCATAAACCAAAATATTTCAAATTTCTTAAGTGGCTTGATTCCAAATTCAGAACATGGTATTGAAGGGTTACCTCCACACGGCTCTCAACAAGGAGATGAGCTGGCAGCTAGAATCTAACGGTGCTAACAGAGCTAACTGAGGGGGAACCGGGGGGCGGGAGCTACGCTTCCATGACTGACAGCTTTATCAGCTGTAACAGCCGCATGAGACTAGAGCAGAGCGGAGATGAGCTAACCAGTGGGGCATGCTCACATGCACTAACATGCACTACAAGGCATGCACGCTTGGCTCAGCTACATGATCAATCTGTGATTACAACACAAACAGAGGGAGAGTGACTTCATTCTCATCTCAGTCTCTGCTGAATTTGGAATTTTGCATCTTTAAGATTTTTATCTTATGATGCCGCTATTTTTACTAAAACTATTTATTTATTACTTGTCAGTTTATTAGTTTTCTCGATGTCTTTGATCACCTGTCAGCCAATCAGAAAGGAGAACCCTTGATGGCTGTGGTATAATTGTCCTACACAGCACAGGATGTGACAAAGGTCTCTTCAAACTCATCCCCAAATCCAAATGAATGTATTCTCTGTTAATTCATTTGGCAGCATGTTTCAAAAATTTCCACCAAAAGTAAAAGTATTTAGATTGTAAAGTACCGAGACCTCAGCGGCAGCTACTGCCCTGGTTATCAACTTGCATCTTTTCAAATCTTTCCAGTCCAGATCTCTTCCCCCAGCTCCCTGATGTTGTAGAAGCCTGGTTTCTCACTACCTGATGCTTGAGGAGGGCCCTTTGTGTCTGAATTCTCCCCACACTGGTTCAGTCTGCTAGGACTGGGTGCAGTGTAGTGCTTTAAGAGGAAGTGATGGTCTTAATGAAGTAAAGCAGCTGCACTGCACTGTACTTTAAATGCAGCAAAACTCTAGGAAACGACCGGATCTTACAGAAAGTACAAATGAATGAATTGGATTTTATGTGCAGACAAGAAAGTTTCATAACAGAGTTTGATGCCTCTTCCATTTGAAAATACCCTGAACACCATTTCTTTGACTAAGTGGGAACCCTGAACGTATCCAGTGAAGAAGTTCCTTCCTTCCTTCCTACCTTTTTCTAACAGTATGTCATTGTTTTTCTTTTGTCTGAGCACAAACTATGCCGTGTCTCTGTCTGTTCTCTACCAGAGCTGTTTGTACTACCGCTCACACACACAGTACAACCATTCTGCACCCACATATCCACACAGTGCAGCCCTCAGCCAACTGGAACAATGAATTCACTAGTATTAATAATCCATTGATATAATATACAATAGCATAACAGTCACAGGGGACATTTTTTCTAAAATTGAGTACTTTTACTTTAATACTTAAAGTACATTTTCATTTTACTTTAACATGTAACACTGTCAATGCAGTACTTTTACTTACCGTGTATCTTTTACGATGTGCTATCAGGAGTAAAGTAGAATGTGAATACTCCATCGCTGATGTTGTATCATTGAAGTAAACACAAGGAAGCAGCTGTTCCAGGATCTCCTGCTCATCCTCTCATTACGTCTCCTTGAGAAGGGACATGTGATTATCTTCACTACTGTAAATGCACTTTAAAATAAGTAGGAAAAAACATATGATTTGCGTGTGTCCTTTTTTACAATAGTTGAAATAATTACCATCACTGTAGGTTAAACGAAAAATGCACTCGACATTCTAGAGTCTCTATCTAATCAACCTGATTAATGCAAGATCTAAAAGTAGCATTCAAGCATTTGATTTAGAACCAGCATCATCGTTCGCCCCTTTTCAAAGCCCGATCTAAATGCTGACTTGTGACCTGTGGCCCTGCAGTAATGGCTCTGGGACTTCAGAGGATCTCTTCTGGAAGCTGGATGCTCTGCAGACCTTCATCAGAGATCTCCACTGGCCAGAGGAGGAGTTTGGCAAACACCTGGAGACCCGACTGAAGCTGATGTCCAGTGACATGATCGAATCATGTGTAAAGCGGTAAGATACTGTTTGAACACACATGGGTTATTCATCATGTGGATGTAGTGACATGGGATTTGTTTGAACTGGGTCTCAAAACATCAACAGTGAGCTGGTAAGAAACACTGGGACCAAAGGGGTTTTGTATCTTCAAACTAAGGAAGTGCTGAGTGACACTGAGGTTGAGAGGGAAAGAAGAGGATTCAACCGACGCGTGTGATGGTTAGGGTTAGCAAGTAGTACATCCAATTACTTTGGAAATGAGCAATTAGTGTAGTATGTTCTACTTTACTGAGAATAAACTCATCCCTGCTGATTGTGACTGCATTTCAGAGACCATCAGCCTGGCACACTTAACAGCATTAAAACAATGCAATCTAATGCATTGGTGGGGGTGTTGCTTCTGGTACAAGTGAGACATTGAGGATGAGGCAGCAAGTCCAGTTTGAGTGTCAGATCCATAAATGTGAAGGCTTATCAGATGCCACAATACTGCACATAGATTTTACAAACCAGTCGACAGTAAAAATGTGCATTTTAGGTTTCAGCAAACCACGGATTCACAGGGTTGTCCGTCCGGCACGTCCATTCTCGTGAACGTGATATCTAACGCTGAGAGTGTGGAGAAGGCTTTTTGAACAGCATTCAGAGCTTCATGTGTGGAAATAGGATTTAACATGTTATGTATTGGGGGTGTTGGTGGGTTGTGGGACTACTGTAGTACTCATGACCTTACTGTTTCTTAAATCCTACATCTGTTTATTTCTATGCCTCTCTAAAGGACACGGGCAGCGTTTGAGGCCAAGCTTCAGAAGAGCAGCCGGGCCACAGACTTCCGCGTGCCACAGTCCATCTGCACCATGTTCAACGTCATGGTGGATGCCAAGGCCCAGTCAGCCAAGCTGTGTGCTGTAGACCTGGGGCAGGAGGTATGTCCATGAAGGGAGGCAGCCCTGTTTCAGAGGAAATAATTGTATCAAGCAGGTTCCCTGTTTGAAGCTCACATCATTCAGAGATCACCACGTTTGGGTGATCTGTGTGTCTGCTGTGAATGGCCTTGGCAGATGAAGGTGGGAAGTCTTTTTTTATTGATTTTTCTCTCTCTGTTACTTCACTTCAGTTTTGTTTTTGTCTCTTACTTTTTCTTTGCAGTATTCACCATTTAAATTGTACGTCGCCTTTATCTGTCTCCTTTTCTGCTGCTTTCCCCTCCTCTCTGTCTTGTGAAAGTTTGTTAGAGACTGGGTAAGTGTGGCTATGAATTCAATTGAAATCTCACCCTCCAGTTCCCAAATGTATAATTAGTCATCAGTTTTCCCTCTCTGTCTTCCTCTACTTGAATTGTTTGGGTCCATTAGCATATGTGTAGATAGTATTGAATATACATGGGGTAGAAGTGAGAGATCTCATATTTCACAGAGTCTCGAGACTGATACCAATTGCTGACAATGAATTAATTATTGCGAAGTCCTTCACTGTTCTGTTGGTGCAACGAGGCTCAACAAAAGGATTCCTCGCAGTGATGCTGCTTCTGGGTTTCCATGACAGCAGTTCTTTAGCAGAAGTAATCATCCCCATGTCCTTCACTGGGCTCTGCTTCACGGGAAAACCAGGAGGCTCTTTAGAACCATCATACACCACTACATTCATTTACACCACTACATTCATTTACACCACTAAAGATAAATAGTGCAATTCATCAAGTAGGCACAAATGAAAAAGGAGTTTTAAACAATGACCTGAACAAGAAATAAATACTTTTCTTACTTTGATTACGAAGACATGAATTAATTTATGGTTTTGCATCTCCATTTAACAAGATATAATTGTACCGAGTTCTGTGCTTTGCTAAAATGTGTGTTTGTTCACCTTTACTGTACATCTCTGCTTTCATCCTCTCATCCTCTCAGCATACCGTTGAACACCTTTAACATTTAATCCAGGGCTTTGATTGATATACTTTTCATTGCAAATGTGATTCAGTTACTGCAGTTTGGTTTATTATATACTGTGTTTATCTAGTGTGCAGTTAAAGAAGCCTTACTCTATTCTAACATTTGTACTGAAGACATATACCAAACAAAGAAATCAGTCAAACCCTTGTTAAAAGAGCTGCACACTGTTTATTATTTTTAATAATCTATATGCTGCTGTCAAATTGACTATAATATCAGATCTCTGTTGTTTACTGCCTAAATCAATGTGTGTAAACAAAGCAGACGGTGATGTGTCAGTGCTAATGTTCAGAATCAAGAGCACATTCACCGAGAAATCCCAGTTCTATCCCAGCAAGAAGATATTGTTGCCAACAAGTCTGACATCTTTCTTACTTACAGAATGAACGTTATTCAGTGACATCTGGTGCAACCATGTTAAACTGATACTGATGGTCAGCTGGCTGAAATGAGGAGTTGCTACCTTAAAGTTTTTTACGCTTGTTTAATTGGACAGTAAGCAGAGATTCGTCAGAGTGAATGCATCCAGGAGGTGGTATGTGTATGTAGCCTAGCTTAGCATAAAGACAGGAAGCCAATCCAGAGCTGCCGGACTGGTACTTCTCTCTGTGTACATGTTTTGTGCAGAGCTAGGCAAACATGCTACATCCATCTATGTACTCGTCACACAGAGACGAGACTGAGCTTCTCTGGTGATCTGTAGACAGAAAAAGCAAAACATATTTTACATCTGAGTGAGATTTCCAGTTGAGATATTTGAACATTAGCTTTTGTTTTGACACACAGTTAGTTTAGTCCTGTATGAGGCAAGTGCTGCTTGTCTTAATTGACATCAAGGTAAAGATGTGATGAGTGGAGAAAGGTCATTGCAAGTCATGTTGTGATATCATAACTATGATTGCAACATTCGTCACAATGGTTCCTTTACATAGATAATGTTGCTCAATGGCAAAATATTTATTCAGTACAAGTACATATAAATATGATGTAAATAATGATAACGTGGCAAGTATTTCCTGTGGAGGAGAAGAGTGACATGTTTCTGTTTTCCTTCCTCTTTAGAGACAATACCATTCACAGATCGATGATCTAATTGAAGAGACGGTGAAGGAGATGATAACGCTGCTAGTAGCTAAGGTACAACCTTTATATTACAGTATAGATTACACCATGTATGTATAACAGGCATAGACTGTTGTATATATTGTATTTTGTATTATATTTTAAGTACAGCACTGGGAGAGTCAAACAAGCATACCACTGAACAATGTAGAGATATGTTTATTATGTGACAAATAAAAACCTTAAACCTTGAAACCTAGACAAGCCAATAATCCCCAGGGATCAGGGAGGGAGCGCAAAACAACTATGGAGACACTCACAACTACTACAAAGAGACAGAAAATGACCCGAGAGAGAAGCAAAACAACAACAAAGAGACTCAAATGACCACATAGAGACTCAAATGACCACATGACCACAAAGAGA